ATACATTATTGGCTCGCTAAAGTGAGAATATCCGTTTTAGATATGAGCGGCTTCCTGGAAGACCTCACTGAAAGCCACAAGGAAAAATTGAAAAAGGTATAGTTTGTTTTCTTCTTTTAATCATAAATTTCTTGCATTTGTATTTGTATCATGAAGCCTATGATAAATATATTACTGAATGCATACACAACATAGTTTTTATTCTAATCCACTGATATGCTCTTGTTTCGCAGTGAATGGGTTCAATTGGGTTCATTCTATCTAAATATTAGCAGGTGAAACATTATGCTTTCTTAATTTGTTGTAACATCGAGTAAAAATGGTAATAGTGAACATTTATAATGCACCATGTCTGTGAAAATTGACTCTCCTGGCGCAGTTGTGAAAAATTGTATGATTGTGGAAATCCGTCTATCAAGTAATTAAAAAAAGAAAGCAAAATACACATAATTTAAGTCTTTATCGAGGTGACATTTCGATATTACTATTTTAATTTACGCCTATGCTTTCTTTTGCAAATGATTTGGCTTAATTTGGCTTGCTCTATTGCCTCATTTGGTATCACGTCGAATAACAATCTCTACTGAAATGCCATTTAATGATTGTTATGCTGATTGAGACTAGTGGCAAGTGGAATGGCTAAATACTGTTTATATTTGCTGTGAATAACTGAATGTTATCATTATTGGAAACCTGTGTGTATTAATAACATTTTTGATGTTGAACTCCAGTTGTTTCACTGGTATGCTCTTCAATGCTAAGTTAAACCTAACCCTAACCCTAACCCTATGGGACTGTCTAAAATTGTGCAGGTAAATCGTGTGATCGCTCGAGTTAGTGCCACGTCGAGTAACTATTTCTATTCGAGTGCCATTTGACAATTATTTCAAATACTAAAGTGCCTTTCTTTTGCAAATCGTTAAGTTTTATTGGGCTTGCACTATTTAGTTAGTTGCAGGTGAATCATGTTTGCCTTATTAAACACTGGCCGTAAAGTGACTCTCACACTCTGCCGTGTAGGCCTACCGTGTGCCACCGTGCGCGAAAATGTCTGCGGACGGTGGAGAACGGAGAGGGCACACGGTGGTTCGTTATCAAAGCGGGCAACACGTTAATAGGGCGTTGGCGCTTATTTACACCCGATGTTCAAAACTTTGGCCGGCTGGCACCGGCCGCAAGTAAGCGGCAAGAGGACGGTGTTGAACGGTATGAGGACGGTATGAATACGTTATGAAAACGGTCACACTGTATGAACACGTTCACAACACGCTCATAACCCGTTACAGAACGGTGATGAACGGGCAAAAAAAAAATCACCGTCTGCAACGGGTTGTAAGCGGGTTGTGAACGTGTCATGAACGTGTTGATACCGTGCCACCGTCTTCATAACGTATTCATACCGTCCTCATTACAGTGTTCATACCGGACTGCCAACGGGTGTTTCCAAAGCGGTACCGCCTGATTCTGACTATTGGGTATATATAGAGGGGTTTCGTCAGATGAGCTTTACTTTTTCTTGTCATGACGTCAGCAGTCCGGGGACTCGCTCACAGGACGCTCCGAGCGGTGAGGGGACGCTAAGTGACTGGTAGGTGGCTGCTACAAACCCGGTGCACACGTTCGAGACCCGGTATGGGCCTGGTATGGAAACGGCCAGAAGATGGCAACGAAACGGTGAAAAGATTAATTTTATGATTTTTTTTTGCGGCCGGGGACAAGTTTGCTCAAAACCCAACGTTCTGGACTCTGTTGTTATTTAACAGCCCGGCAGGTGGACGGTAGGCCTACACGGCAGAGTGTGAGAGCTCCATTAGCGCGGAGTTAAAATTTGGGCGGCGCCTGCTCACTTTTCACTCGCCGCCCCAAATACGCTCGGTGCCTGGGCGGTCGCCGCCCGGGCACCGACCTAATTGCTGGGCGATGCCTAAATTCCAGCAGCGACCAAGCAGGTTACTGATCGGTCGGTCGCTGCTCAGATTTGTGACCATAGCTTTAGGTAAACGACTGTTACTTACTCTTAACTGGATTACAGTTATTCTAATGCAATGTGAAACTAAAGGCCTACCAAATATTTCTATGAATCTCATACCCCCTCTATCTCCCCCCCCCCCTCTCTCTCTCTCTCTCTCTCTATCTCTCAAATCTAAAATAAATATGAATAATTGTTTTGATATCAAACCCGGACTTAGTAGGATTATCATGAATCAAACGAAAATCTATCATGGACAGACAGCGTAAAATCTGTACATTATGGGGGTATGTCATTCTGTGATGTTTGAGTCTTACATTGTTGTGTTATTATTTTTAATAAATCTTCTTCATTTACAATGTTTGATATTTCTGTTTTGGTATTTTCAATGATTTTATCGTTCATGTAGTTATTTTAGATGAAAAGCGTTATTCATTTGTGTTTTTTAATGTTGAATGTGCGATCTCTTATTATATTTCTTTGCTATAGAGGTTTTGCAGGTTAGTGTATTTTCCCTCTTTGTTTATATATTTATACAACTTATATAAAATATCCCAAAATTTTGATCTTTTTGACCTGTTAAGTAATAATGTTTTGTGTTTTATTATTTGTTCTCTAAGGTTGAATAATTTAATCAATTCTTATACCATCACTTTTAATGTTCTTTTATTTGAACCACATGTACATGTATTAGTATATCAGTATTTTTCAATGTTTTCGATTCGTCAATTTGTTTTAATGTATGACACGGCCCCAACGAAATCCAGTCTTGTCACTTTGCGGACTTTAACCGTGTATGAATAGATCAAGATCAAGAGAAGGATAGCTCTCGCTAAATCTGCATTTTCAAAGTTAGGCAAAATTCTGATAAATCGCACTATGCGTATGAGGACCAGAATAAGGGTACTGAATTGTTACATTGACCCAGTACTTATGTATGGTAGTGAAAAATGGACTTAAGCCTCTGATACTAAAAAGCGTTTGGAAAGTTGCGAAATGGGTTTTTTAAGAAGAATGATGAAAATTTCTTGGACTGACAAAGTTAGTAATGAGGAAGTTCTTAGACGAGCTGGAGTGCAAAGGAAAATGATACGTGAGATGTTGATTAGGCAGTTGAAGTTCATGAATCACATTACACGTAAATAAAGGGAGAATTGTGGGAAGAATGAGGAGTATAGGGGGAGGAGGAGGGCACTTTCGATGGACAGTCAGCAGTTGGAAGAAAGAGAAGTATTAAGAACTGGGAGTGGTGCTAACAGAGAAGGCTAGGAACCGAGGATAGTGGATCAGCATGATCTCCAAAGTCAATCGATATGGCACTTAGAGAGAGAGAGAGAGAGAGAGAGAGAATAGATAAATTCAATCTAATTCAATTCAATTAAACCAACATACCAACAGACAAAACAAGGCAATATAAATTTGGAGTATGTTAGATAGAATTGTGAAATACTCAAGAAAACCTAGGCAAAAAGTAAAACAGAACATATCGCATTACACGCGATACAAATTAGTACAGTAACATCGCTTAAGACAGGATATTGAACGGCGAAAGTAATTGAACATATCGATACTTGAAAATTGCCAAGATAAAATCAAGAATAATAGCCACAGGCCGTAAAGTAATCGTTTCTTGAAATAATAAGATACCTAAGCATGAAATCAATTTGATTGAATCATCGAGAGCTGAATAGAACAGTTCTGTGTTTGTTCTATATTAAGCATCGTCACTTTCTTATCTTATTTTTGTTCACTGATCACATGTCTTAACCGACGCTTTATTTCATGTTGCATCTCACGGTGTTTCACAATCTTGACTCTTGTCTCATTCGAACCTAAAACATCTTTGACTCAGCACACGTTACTTTGTGAGGATTGATTCCTGAAATAATACACACCCAGACGGTGGAATAGGAGCAACGTTGATTAGGGTCATCGAGAAAAGCGAATTAAACGATATTTGACGTGCTGAAGAAGCTTAAGAAAGGTCGGTTTGATTAGAACAATCTTGAACCAAGTCCGCTGATGAAGGACCTAATGTTAAGCAAGTCTACAAATGGACGAAAAGAACACCGAGGGACAGTCAAGAGCACAGTTGTAGGAACTACTGAATATTCATACCTGCGGATATCTCTCTGATGCAGTCCAGGACTTGGCCTATCGACCTTCTTGGGAAGCAAAGAAATACCATCCAGTCAACTCTTGGATCAGCTTCATTGGCCAAAGGTTGAAATGGTGCTTAAATAACTCCTCAATAATACATCAAGTGGTGGTATTCTAGGTATGTGATGCAAATATACTTTCTTAGCAGTCAACTAAAACAAACAAGCACATTTTGAGAAGGCATCAAACACGGTTTCTACAGCACCCTCAAAGACTTCATCCTTCTACCTTGGTTTATTTCTCTATACGATAGACCTGGGCTTCGTTTTAAGAACAAGAAGGCTGACTCGTCGTAATTATTTTTAGGGACCGAGTACTACTTCGATTTTCCTTCAATTTTCTCGCATCAATTCAGTATCAGCGACCTGTTGTTTGGAACTCATGATGGCTGTGTACGCTCATGCAATAAGCTTCGTAGTACTGTGTGGATTCACGTTGCTATATGGGGTGGAGATGGATCACATCAACATAACTCTCAATCATACGTGCTCGGAAAACTCGAGGTACCATAGCGCCAATTGCTCATATCGCGGTCTGACATCGGTTCCCCGGAATCTTTCACATGACTTGCGTTCCCTCAACGTTTCTAATAATAACATCTCTATGCTCCTCGACAAATCGTTCGTGAACTATACACAGCTAAAAACTTTGGACGCTAGTTATAACTCCATCTACCTTATTGAGAATGAAACATTTCATGCTCTCCTGCTACTTAAGGTATTACGGCTCCATCGCAACAGTATCAGTGTCCTACCCATTTCCCTCCTGAAGAAGAATTGTCATCTATCCGTGCTGATCCTACATCATAATAGACTCAAGGGAATTCCTCGCATCTTTGGAAACAATCTGCAAATTACTCAGTTTGCAAAAGATGGGGAAGACGCATGCGGATGTAAGAATTTGTCACTTTTTGATTTGTCTTTTAATACAATCAGTTCACTTCAGCAAGGAGATTTTGTAGCTATACGGAACTGCTTCTTCGATAAATTCAACTTGGATCATAACCATATAACGAGTCTCCCTCGTGCCGTTTTCACGGATTTACCAGCAGTACATTTATTCATCAATAATATATCACTGGCTAAATTCCACGCCGGGTCCTTTCTGGGTAACAAAGCAATAGTAAAGGTGACATTGACCTGGTCGGGCATAAGATCTATTGTACCCATGAATACATCGGAAATACCAAGAGATCTTTTTCCTGGTATAACAAAACTTTATCTATCACGCAACGAATTGATAACTATTCCAAAGTATGCCCTGGATGGTTTTGAAAAACTCCAGGTACTAGACATTGGAAGAAATCAATTATCAAGTCTTTATAACGGTTCATTTTGTGGATTGAAGTCGCTGATTGATTTGAATCTATCTGTCAACAAAATTACGTCGCTTCCACGAGGATCTTTTGCTTGCGCCGAAAAACTTGAGAGCATTAATTTATCACTTAACGACATCGCTGTATTAGATCCTCAATGGTTCGACGGAAACCACTGTCTCAGCACTTTGAGATTATATCAAAGCAACATTCATGAAATCAAAACTGTACCATGGAACGCAACAAATCTTCAAACTCTTAACTTAGCCAATAACAACCTTATCTCCGTTAACAGAAATACATTCGTTGGTTTAAGAAATCTAAAATTCCTTGACCTTAGCAGGAATCATAATCCTCTCGATATATCCGTTGATGCTTTTGAAGAAACCAGTTCTTTAGAAAAGATCATAATGAAAGATTTAGTCAAATTCACCATGACAGGTTCTTTCAGAAACATGCATCAACTAGTATTCCTCGATATGTCCTATCTTTCTAGTCGCTTAGAAATTACTTCCCATGACCAATTTAGTCATACGTCGGCGTTGAGGATTCTAAACTTATCCAGAACTAAAATCAAAGCCGAAGATCTAGTCCAACTTCAAAGCAATAGACCATTGTTTTCAGGATTGGTCTCGTTGCGCACCCTAAAACTGCCACTTAACTTATTTGATGATTTCCACCACGTTCCTAACGCATTTACCACACTTTGGAATCTTCATGAGCTAGATCTGACTGACTGTCAAATTACACAAATTGACTCGGGGATATTTAGGAATCTCACGTCACTAACAGATCTCTTGTTGGCCAAAAACTTGATTAAAATCATTCCCGCAAAAGCTTTTCAGGATCTACAGAAGTTACGTAACCTGAATCTAGCATCTAACTATATTACAGTTATCGAAAAGCAATTATTTTCCAGAACATCCAGTCTCCAGTATCTATATCTCCAGAATAATCAAATCTCCACGATAGATTCTTTCACACTATTACCAACAAGTCTAAAGGTGTTAATCATTGCGAACAATCCATTCACATGTACCTGCCAACTTGCGTGGTTCAGGGAATGGCTGGACAAGGTGAATACAACAATCTATCAGAGAAATGAGACTCGTTGCTCTAGTACTTCCTTCAAATCGCTAAATAATCAGACTATATGGTCGTTCCATCCTGAAGATTACTGCGGAGTCAATATCTATCTTATTGTAGGTGTATCTTTGGCAATTGTGACCGTTCTGTCGCTAAGTGTCCTCGTGTACCAAAAGCGATGGTGGTTGAACCACAAACGATTTCTCTTAAAGTTGGCCATCGTTGGTTATCAAGAAATCATTGAAAATCAAGGTCCTGAGGACTACGAGTATCAGCTTAACCTCATGTTCCGTGAAGATGATGAGTGGTGGATTAACGATTGCATGAAGCCATTCCTGCAGGGGAGGATGCCACACCTGGAGCATATCGTTTTTGGGGATAGTGGTCTTCATCCAGGGTCTTTCTATTTAAACGCCATCTATGACGTCATCGAGAACAGCTACAAGACGGTCTTGTTGCTTAGCAACCAGTCAGTGGAGGATACCTGGTTCATGACCAAACTCCGTATGGCCGTGGAGCATATGAATGACACCAAGTTGGAGAAGATCATCCTCATATTTCTAGAGGACATCGATGATGACCACCTACCGTATCTTGTACGGCTGTTGCTGAGTCGGAACAAACCTTACTTGCTGTGGGTGGATGATGATGAAGATGCACAAGAATTCTTCTGGGCAAAGTTTGAGAAGAGCATGAGGGCTAACAGGGAAATGAATAATGTAATTCCAGTTTAGTAACATATTAAAAAACGTAGCGTATTACACTTTGTAAAAGATAGCGTGTCGTGACGCGTGGTTATAACTAGACGTGCGTTCAAGAAAAAAAATCTTCGAGTCGAGATTAGTGTATAATTATAATATGTTGGCGAATCCAACGTGACATGCGTCTTTATAGTTATGTTTGTCTCATACAATTTCAGTCAAAACTTTGAACATACTTGTAAGTTGTCAAGTGTTCAACTAGGAAGTATTGAAAAGAGCATACACTTCAACCCCCCCCCCCCCGCACCAAGATGATGATTTATTTGTGGAAGTGAAGTAGTTCGTTCTTTGTCAAGAATATAAAGAGAACATCGTTAGGGTTAAAATGAGAATTTGACTCCAACACACGCATACACATCACATACACGCATGCACCTCCCAAACTCACACATACAGAGCATAACTTTGAAATAATATTTTCAGTTCTGTGGTCAGGTATAATCACTGCATGCTTCTAAAAAGATACTGTATATTGATTCGTAATCGAGGTAATAAAGATTTCTCTATGATTAACGAATTGAATAGAGAAACTGTATAATATCATTTTGGATCTTTTCTGATAATGAAAAGGTATTATTTATGATCTACTCTTGAAAAGAATAAATGAAGAATGCAGTCTAGACATTTGTATTAAGCGCTATATAAAAGCTTATTATTATTATTGTTATTATTATTCGATATAAGAGCCAATTGAAATTTATTTAACAAACGTTCTTTTGCTCAGTGGTAGAGCACTGGTCTCGTAACCAGAAGGGGGCCAAAGGTTCGAAACCAAATCGATGCAAAGGTTTTACTCGTTGTCGATGTATGAAGTAAGAGAAATAAAGGCCATCAAATGACGAAGTTATTCTATTTTTCTATCTCTCTCTCACACACAGACACACACACACACACAAACACTTCTCTATTGATCACCCCCTCTCTCTTATCCCTTTATGTTATGTGACGGGAGGGGGCAAATCGATTGCCTTCACATGAGAAAGAATAATGTTAGATGAAATGTATTGCAATGTACACACCCTGTGAAGCTTCAGGATCGTCAGTCTCGATCCTGATGACAATACTTGGTTGCATAACAATTATGTAGCTTTCAATCTCCATTTTGTACAATAAGAAATTAAATCATGAACTTTACATTTCAACACGACAATCTGTACTTGTATTGCACTAATATGCATCTTGTTGTATACAATTTTATACATTTTTGTTTTCTTTCTTTAATAACTGTGTTTCCAATCTTTGGATAATGTCATTTTGGGATTCTGGGTAAATCTATAAATTTTCACCCATGTCTCTAATCCCTGGTTATTTTATAAAATGTAAAATTATTTAATATCCATGTATTATATATATTTTATGTTTGGCTTATTTCATTGTTATTCTGTATGTCAGGACCAACGTGAAAAACAGCTTTGTCATCATGTATAAATATGTTTGAATAAATGAATAGATCAATCAATTATCCGTGTTGGTTTAACAGTACAACTTTTCCTGTAAAGAACTCTATTTTTGAGAAATTTTGTATAATCACGGACTTATGAAATATTTATGAAATATTGTTTTCTCATTAAGTTTACCCCCGGTTCCCCGTTTTGTCTTCACTTTTTAACCTGTAAATAGTTTATTAATGTACAATTCTCACAATAAATCAATTATTTGCTATTGGTTCAGTTAGAGTAATTTATGCTGTTCTTCAAAAATATGTCATAAAAACCCACAAAACCCACAAAACAAATTTATAAATATGCATGTATACCCATACGCACATACATAAGTACTGTGATGCAATATTTCGATATTCGAATAATCTTAAATCAGATGTTGATCCCGATATATTGATTTCTTGTCTCACTCCCATTGAACGTAATTAAAATATACAAAATGATAATATCAACGTTATTTTTTTACATTTTAATGCCCGGAGTCTCTCTAGTAACTTTGAAAATATTCACATTTGGGGGAATACACTTTCACCAAAATTCTCTGTTATTGCTATATCAGAAACTTCGATTTTTGATACCCAAATTGTTCCTTTTTGTTTTAATAGATGGTTACATGTTTATACATTCAGGAAGAGGAGGTGGTGTTGCATTATTTGTACTGTTCGCACAGAAATATTCGATTCGTAAAATGATTATGTGAATATTTATGTATAGATCTTATGTTTGGATTGAACTTTAATTATACAAGGTGTTTTTTTTTACAGAAAACCTAACTCTGTTATTTTGATTTTTTTTACAGTGTTATAATGATGCACTTGGTACTTTATCGCATGAAAATGTTGTTATAGCCGATGATTTGAATAAAGATCTTCTTAAATTCAATAATGCTCAAGTGATTATTTCTGACGCTTGTAAATTTGTAAATATGAAACCCCCGTTTGTGCTTCAAAATTTAAATACAATCCGAACTCGAATTACAGGTAATAGTGATAATATGTTTACTATTAAGTGGAACCATATGTACTGACAAGACAGATCTATTAACTATATTATCGTTATTTGAGTTAGTTAAATACTTTAACAATAATAACCTTATAATCTCATGTTCGTAAAATCACCAATAATCTGACAATGCATTGAGAAGGGGGTTAAATAATATAGATTGGTCATGTTTGTGTATGTATTACGATGCAAAACAAATGTATAATGTTTTTTTTAATTCTCTTGTTAATAATAATAATAATAATATGGATATTTATATAGCGCCGGTATCCGCCAGGCTCTGACGCTCATGGCGCTGTACATACATGTATTACTATCACAAAAATATAACATTCTTAACTAAAATAAAGTAAACTAAAACAACACAAATTATTACGCTACATTGACATGATTAAATAGCACTGTTTAGAAAGAGATGGGTTTTTAGAGCAACTTTGAAGGCATGAAGGGTAGTTAAATTACGAATACTAAGTGGCAGCTTATTCCAAAGGGACGGACCAGAATGAGAAAAAGCTCTATCCCCCCAGGAACTGCGCGTCTTAGGGACAACTAATAAGGAGGATTGAGATGAACGAAGACGTCTTGTAGGCTTATACTTAACAATCAACTTGATATTGTAGGAAGGAGCAGAGTCATACAATGAATGGAAAACTAACAACAACAACTTAAAAATGATTCGGTCACATACCGGGAGCCAGTGAAGAGTTTTGAGAATGGGGGTAATGTGGGTTCTACGAGAAGAAAGTGTGACAATACGTGCAGCAGTATTTTGCAGTTTCTGAAGTCGAGAAAGTTGTGTGTTAGGGAGTAGATAGAGAATAGAATTACAGAAATCTAAGCGTGATGAAATAAGAGCATGTACAAGTTTCTCTGTGGTTGAACGACTTAAGTATTTCCTAATAAAACCTAGATTTCTTAGTTGATATCTGACTGACTTACAAATACTAGAAACATGAGTTGACAATGACATAGACGAGTTTAACATGACACCAAGGTTACGACATTGCGAGGAAGGACTAATTACAGAATCTGATATGGATATAGATATAGATATAGATATATGGATATAGATAAGTAGGTTATATGATAAATATTTACCTCTTGTACCTAATAAATTTAAAAGACCTGGGTATTTATTAAGAAGATTTGAGAAGAAAATAAATTGTACAAAACATTTTTTCGCAATAGATCTCCTGGAAATGAATATAAGTTTAAATCATACCGGAATAGAGCAAATAATTTATTAAAGCAAAACATTTTTATTATTGTGCTCAATTTGGGGGAAATGAACGGTAATGTTAATGGTACATGGACAATTATGAATACTTTATTGAACAAAAGAATAACCTCATTGTCTTTGTATTTTGTAAATAATGATGAATTGATACAGAATGAACAAACTATCGCAAATGAATTTATTTCGTATTTTAGTTTTTGTTGTTCTACTTTGCATTATAATATTGCTCGAATTGATTCTTTGTCCCATACTGATTATTTATGTGATCCTGTATCTCAAACATTATATTTTAATGCTAAAACTGAAAATGGATTGTTTGAAGTTGGTAAATTATTATTTAAAAAAAAACACTTATTCGTGTGGCTATGATACTATAAGTTGTAAACACTATGAACATGACGGACAAAGAAAGAGGACAAAATATACAGTTCCTCATGCTACCCTCAACAATTGCTGTGGTAGACAAAAAAAAACATCCTTTCACTGCTATTATGTAAAAATGTGTAGAACAGGAGAATATACATGTGACACCTGTTCTACACATTTTTGCATAATAGCATGGAAGGGATGTTCCTTCGTCTACCTGAAGAACTGTATATTTTGTCCTCTTTCTTTGTCCGTCATATTCATAGTGAAAGTATTTAAAAAGATAATTTATTCAATAACTAAACCTTTGTAATATTCCTAATAATTTGTTATCAAGTGGTATTTTTCCTGGCAAATTAAAGATTGCAAAAATTATACCTGTCCATAAAAAAAAGATGATTGTCATTTATTCAAAAATTATCGACTGATATCTTTATTGCCTTGTATATCCAAACAATTAGAAAAATGTTTTCATAAATTTCTATCTAAAAATGATGTACCTTCTGATTGTCAATTTTATTAAACTGTCGATGTTTTAATTGATTTACAGGATGAAATAACTTAAGTAATTGAACATAATTTTTGTATTGGAATACATTCATGGATCTATCGAAAGCTTTCAATATTGTTGATCATTCAATTCTTTTTTGTCAAAATTGTGTTTTTATGGAATACGTGGGATCCCATTTAATTTTTTTAAAGACTATTTACACAATCGTCTCCAATATACTATGTTTAAATATTCTATAACTGATTTTCTGTTTTAACATGTGGAGTTCCCTAAGGGTCTTTTGCTGTTCTTAATACATATTAGTGATCTATTTAGATCCTCTGAAAACTTAGAACATATTATGTACGCAATGAAAGAAGTCTTATCTTTACTCAATCGGATTATTAAAGTGAATAACGTGGCAAAGTGGCTTAAAGCTAATAGATTGATTCTTAATCTGAACAAAACCAACTATTTTATATTTCATAATAAAAAACATACT